ATTCCATGCAAATCTTGCACACTCGAGGGTGATCTGAAATCTTCAATGCGAGGGGTCTGCAGAAGAAAAGATTGCACCTCTAGAGAGCGACAGGAAGGGGGAAGGAGGGGGGGAGGGGGGGAGGGGGGGAGGAAAGTCCTCCATGCCCCCCGATGATAGAAGGACAGGGGCGCGGCCCGAACGGCGTCGCGCGTTGCGCGCCGTGCGTGCGCGCATGGCTGATGGCCAGCCTTTGCCCTCTCCTCTCCCTTTCCCGTCTTTTTGGCAAAAAAAAGGCCCCTTGCCCCCCACCGTGCAATCGTGCAAGGATGATCTGGTCTTTAGGCCTCGTCGTCCTGCGTGTGGGGGGGGGGGGGGGGGGGGGGGAGGGGCGGAGTGAGACAGAGCATGGGAGAAGGTCAATTTGGCTGACAAGAGGCGAGAGTAGGGGAGGAGGGGGAGAGCAAGGCAAAAAAGAAAGACACGCACGTAGTTGGTCGGATCTCTCCGCATGCTGACCTCGAGCGCGGCTAGGAACTTGTTCATGCCCGTCACTGCGCGGGGGGAGAGAGAGAGAGAGAGAGAGAGATATAGGGAGTGTGTGGGTCAGTCCACCTTTCAATCCTTTGCGCCGCCCCTTTTACTCTTTCCGCATCCCACATTGCCCCTCTTCCCCTCCTCTGCTGGGCCGCGCTAACCCCGCGGTGGGGGGGGGGGAGGACTCACACAGCGACTCGGGCCGCTTGGCCGTTGCCGACACGGACGGCTGGCCCTCGTAGACGACGACGCGGTCGGCGAGGTAGGTGGCCATGATGATGTCGTGCTCGATGATCATGGCCGTCTTTTTGCTGTGCAGGATGAAGCGCTTGATGACGCGTGCGGCAATGATGCGCTGCTCCGAGCTGCGCAAGGTTGAAGTCAGCGGCAATGCAGGAAGGAGAGGGGGCCGCGCATACCCACTCAAGGTACGCAGAAGGCTCGTCGATGAGGTAGATATCAGCCGGCTTGCCGAGGGCCATAACGAGCGCCACGCGCTGCAGTTCGCCGCCCGACAGCGTCTGCACGTCCTGGTCGATGATGTTGTCGAGCTGCATCGGCTTGACGACGTCTGCGGTAAACTGCGGGTGCATAAAGGCGCCCTTGATCTGCTTGATGAGCAGCATGCGCACCGTGCCCTGGAACTTGGGCGCAATCGTCTGCGGCTTCAAGGAGACGTTCAGCTCCGGAGGCTTGGGCGTGCCCGGATCCGCCTCCAGCTTGCCGGCTAGCATCTTGACGAATCTGGCGCGCGCGTGGTGCATTTCGTCAGGGGGGAGGTGCATGCTTGAGTCGCTGCAGCACGCAACTCACGTCGTCTTGCCCGTGCCATTCTCGCCCAGAAAGACGAGAATCTCAGAGTCGGCAAACTCGCCGCCCTCGATCTCGAGGTGGAAGTTGCCGAGCGTCTTGCGCATGCTGGGGTACTCAAACTTGCGCGTGCGGTGCACAATCTCGTCTGCCGTCTCTGCAATCTTGAATGTGAGCGACTCGTCGCGGAAGCGCATGTTCTCTGCGGGAATGAAGCCGTCGAGGAAGATGTTGATGCCTGTTTGTTTTGTGCGCGCGCGGGAAATTGGTCTCAGCAGCCGCACCCTTGCCTCGCCCCCTCTTGTGTCTCTCCAACACTCACCATCGCGCACGGGACTCGGCACCGTCACGACGCCATACACGCTCGGCACGCCGTAGAGACAGCAGATGAAGTCGGAGAGATAGTCGAGCACACTCAGGTCGTGCTCGACGGCAATGACGTACGTGTCGTTGTCGAGCAGCTTGCGGATCATGCGCGCGGCATTCAGACGCTGCTTGACGTCGAGGTACGACGAAGGCTCGTCGAACATGTACCTTTTGGAGGGTGTGAGCAAGGTGTGGGGGGGGGGGGGAAGATGGGGCAAGCGCGAAGCAAAGGGGTAGCAAACTCGCTCCTCAGCCCCAAGCCGCCCACTCCCATGACGCGCACGCAAACTCACATGTTGGCCTTCTGCACACAGCTCATGCCAATGGCGAAGCGCTGCAGCTCGCCGCCGGAGAGCTGCTTGACGTCGCGCTCGAGCACCTGCTTGAGGTCGAGCACGCTGATGATTTCCTCCTTTGACTCGACGCGCTCCAGCTTGCCGTCGAGCATCTCGTTGACGGTGGCCTTGCCCTTGATGGCGCGCGGGATATGGTCGACGTACTGCGGCTTGATGAGGGCCTTGATGTTGTCCTCGAGCACCTTTGTGAAGAAGTTCTGCAGCTCCGAGCCGCGAAAGTACTTGAGGATCTCCTGCCAGTCCGGCGGCTCGTCGAAGCGCCCCAGGTTGGGCTTCTGCTTGCCCGCGAGAATCTTGAGCGCCGTCGACTTGCCAATGCCGTTTGTGCCCACCAGGCCCAGCACCTGGCCCGCACGCGGCACGGGCAGCCGATGCAGCTTGAACGAGTTGGCAGAGTAGCGATGCGTCGTTTGATCCTCCAGGTTCGTCGGCAGCTTGATGATGGTGATGGCCTCAAAGGGACACTTCTTGGGGCACTTTGTGTGTGCGAAATGGGCCGCGCGTCAGAGAGGGCAACAAGCGCAACACACAGACTGCAAGTCTCTTCCCCCCCCCCCCCCCCCCCCCCCCCCCCCTCGCATATCTCTACTCACGATGCCGCAGCCAATGCAAAGCGGCTCGCTAATCGTGGCAATCTTGGACGTGGACGTCACCTCGATGCACAGGCGGCCTGGTGTGCAGAGGGTTTGGGGGGCCGAGGGTCAGCCGCGTGCGCTGCTCGAGTGCGCGCCAGAAGGGAGAGGCCGCCGGGGAGGGGGGGAACGACACGCTACGAGCGACCTCCAGTTGCAATCACGGCTCGCAGCCGTTCTTGGCAAAGCGGCAGCAGCTCCTCCCGCGCCCCCCACGCCCCCGACACGAGTTTCTCGGG